CTGCAATAGATCTCTCTTTTCAAGAGAAGCCAGGCGAATGTACGAAAGAAAACATGCTACTCACATGCATCCACCAGCAGTAGTTTCACCGTTACGCTGGTATTGGCATGAGGTATAACGAGAACAGATTTTGCTTGTTCGAAAAGATACTACTCGTAATAACGGTGAAAGCTCCCCAGTGGAATTCAGCTTGGTTTACCGTTGAAACCAAATTAGTTTACTCACAGCGACTTCACAGAAGCGGTTGGGTCGCCCCGATTCGGGTCGCGACTACACTGCGCACTGGCACAATTGCGTGATAGTAATGTGAAAATATAGATTTCTCCAGAACGTGTTCTGTTGGAAATCTAGACAAATGGAATAGCTTTTTCCAGAAATGGATCAGTTATTACACCTTGGGGTTTGCCTGCTCAGTCTGTCCGAAATTGAGACAATGTCAATACTGTTATTTAAGCCTCTTTTAGGACTCTAATTCGCAGGTGTCCCTGTATAATCGATTTATCGTTTTATCGATCCAAATCACTGAAATCGATTGAAGGGACACGCAACAAATCGTACAGTTAAGTGCTTACGCAGTGCAAAATTCCTCAGCTAGCAGAAATGCCAAGCAGCTAATTAGATCAATTTTGGACATAACCTTTTTGGAAGTTGTGGGTAAAACTTGACAGATGGTGAAAACCAAGTAAAGCTAACTGACCAAAAGTGTTTGGGAACTCTAAAACTTGATGGACACGTGGTAAAAATGTGTACATTAAATAACATTTTTAAATGGGTTCTTCGAAACTTTTGCAGTTTCCCATGCAGTAATTTCACCATTTTCGTTTTCGTATTCTTTTATTGCTAAAACCCAGAATAGACTAACCACTTTTTGAGAGCATGGGACTGTTTAAAAAAGGGGCCAAAAGTAATTGTTGGAAAAACTGAATTTCTAATGAGACTACTTAGAAAGTTTATAGTAGAACGGTGTCAGCTACTGGTTGCAACTCACCTGTGGTTTTTTAGGAGTGCCGGAAAGATTGACAAAATTCACAATTTACCTAAGTTTCCGAAAATCAAGCCAGAAACGTACATTCCATTTTACCCGAGGTTCACACCCGTTTCCACACGTTTCCACGGAGATGAGTGGGCTTTGTCTCTAGTGCTCAGAATCTGAGGCAATCTGAGAATTTTTCAGCCGATATTTTGTCCTGTAAATAAGAAAATACCTAAATGAAAACTCCATCGGTGGTGTCCAAACATCCTCCCAACTGTTTTCAGTCCCTTGTTGTGTTCTTAGATGATTTTCCTGAAAAATTCACGCGTCGCGGGAATTAGCTTTCCTTCTGAGCTGATTACAGTTTGCACTTTGCCGTGTGTCGCTCAGTTCATAGTTATCGACGGGCAAAAGCTTCGAGACCAGAGGATCAAGTTGATTTTCACAAGTTAAACCAGTTTTTTCTTGTTTCATGGCAAAATTTAACTTCCTGGACTTGATAGCCAAAGTATTGGCATATACAGAGCCAAGAAATCAGTTCCGAATTATCGACCAGTCAGCCGCCAGTGTGACACACATGGCCGAATTCAAAGTCTGTCTATTTCGTTCTCAGTCTGCGAGCGTTTGTGGCCACTTGATCGTTTGGCACCTCCCAGAGATACTGTTTAATATCTGGGGTTGGATCTTATTCGCCTTCGAAATCCCTACTGATTCTATTGTAGAGTTTTTCTGCTTGGTTGTCGATCTGTTTGTCAAGCATGGCATTTGGATTGCGAACGTTTCATCATCAGTCGAGATGACATTGTCAGTGCGGGGTTGAGTGGGTCTCACTTAACCCACTCATCATCTTGGGGCTCAGCGGGTGGGCACAGTCTCCGAGATTCCGTCACCCTTATGTTCGCTGAGCTTGGCAGTTGGATTGCAAACGTTTCATCAATGATCGAGGTGACATCGTCAGTGCAGAGTTGAGTGAGATCCACTCACGATTGGTGATGAAACGTTCGCGATCCAACTACCAAGCTCGACGATGGGACCAACAGACAAGCAGCGAACCCGAGCTACCTATATGTCACAACATTGCTAGCAATGGTTTTCTATGTTGGTGGGGACTGGCGAGGAATCTCGCAGATAGCGGTCATTTTTTCAGACAAAAACTCGGACTATTTGCTTTGCTTCGGGAAAAATGTGGTCCCTTCAGCTCCGATGCTGGCACCTTCAGTAATACCTCACAGTCCTGATGGATAGTCAAATTTATCTGTTTCAACATTTAAGTTGCATAAGGGAATTGGGCACAGAAGAACATCAAAAATATGTTGTCCACATGCACCAATCTCATTATCGTCCCGGTTCTCATTTCAAGTTATGTCTACACAAACACACCAGAAGAATGTCACAGGACATGCATCGCTAATCACCAGCGTTGAATTCTTAGTGGGTGCATCCGAAAAGACTTCGATCTGAAGGCCAAAGAACCCCACAGAACTTGCAAGAGGGATGTGGTTACCACATTCAGCTGTCTTGTATAAAGACAATTAGTTAGTTCTCTTTGAGTGACTTTACGCTGTTGATGAGATTGCTGAAAACTGTCCAACAGCCCACTATCGACTTTGGTCAGCTTGAATTTTTGACCGTCGAAGCTCGAATAGTAGATATGTTTGATGAAAACTTCGTGACTCCGAGTGTTTCCCAAGGGGAACAAAACTGACAGTGGATTGTCGGAGCGAGATTCAACTTGGGATCCGACTGACTGTTCCCTAAACGCCGGAATAAGATCTAATTTCCGGGCCTTTCAGCCTCAACGCTCCGCAAATCACTTTGACAGTTCAACATTCCTATCCAGGTCGGATATTAACTTAAGTTTGACACCATTTGTACCTTTTAACCGTAGATGTGCTCATATTCTCTGAACATTCCAAACGGGCTGGTTTCAAGACTGCAATCTTGATAGTAGAACACGTCTACAAGACGAACAGAAGACAGCAGTTGATAAAACGGCATCCTTCACTGGCCTCTTCAATAATTCTGGCCTTCTGTGTGCTGATATTAAACGGTGTTACATATTACAGTATGTGGATGTAGACATCGGAATTCATTCACTACTACTGATTTGTGACTAGTAGAGCCTTGAAAACAGGGACGTATGCATCACAGTGTCAGTCAGGGATGCGCTCGAACAGTTTCACGCAAACTACATGCAATGCTGAACTGAATTAGATGTCAGATCGTGTCACCTCTATCATCGTTAGTGATCAGGAGAAAGTTCCTATGGGTGAACGAGATAGAAGTAGAACATAAGGTAGGCAGAAACTCGGGCACTGCGCCTACCTGATGAGCCCAAAGTAGAAGGGCGAAACCGGTCGTGGGCTGTCGAAGAGTTTGCAGCAGCTTTGTGAGCAGTTTTCTTAATGAAGATAGAAGTAAATTTCAGTCACTGCGCCCATAAAGAATAACCAAATTTTATAGTGAAGCACTGGATTGGATTGTCTTTTTTTTCTTGCGAAACGTTCAGCTTAGCCTTACTGTTCTCTCTCTCTAGAGGCAAGCATGTGAAAATGCCCACAAGCACCCATAACTTGGTTATCGTAACTGACGGTCGTTCAGTGCATTCCAGTTGGAATATTCCGTCGATGCAGCTTTAATTAGGAGATCAGCTTTATGGAATCCTGGCACTTCAGGTACGAAAAGACATTTACATTGTCTTTGCAGCAGGTTGCATGGGAAATCACAGTGACTGAGGTTGATGTTCGGCCTTTAAATGCATCGCCAAATGGTGAGCGTATTACCCTTGCTGTGAGTGCACGAATACTATTCAAAGTTGGCAGTGACCCTCGACACATCGAGATAACAGTTTACTGCCTCGGTATAAACTTGTTCACACATTTCCTTCACGTGAAAACGGCGATTCAGAATACTCCGGGGACTATTCCACCTTTGCATAGAATACCATAAAACCCATGTAAATGACATATATAGTATTGATTTGCAAGTTGCAGAGGCTGGAAATCAATACCCCGGCCTTCACTTTTAGCATCGAACAAGTATCAGAATGGTGACTCGTTTCACTACACAGAAACTTGGCAAGGCAGAATCACAAAGTAAACGTGATAGTTAGCAAAGTAGTGCTGGCAACTTGGCTCTCCAAAACACTTTGGAACTGGCGTTGCACCGTTAAAAACATCTGCCCAACCAATTCGGTTTGTATTTTGACAGATGTTATCAGAGTGAAACTATTTTCGAACAAACGGATTTTGCAGCTGTGATGCCGAAATGGATTTTTGGAGAACAAACGAAAGAACGTACGAGTTTTGTCCGATGAAAGGCCTGTCCTAGGTCACTGAAGGAGAAAACACTAATGAAAAATTTTTTCTCACATCAACAAAGTAGCTAAACATAACCGTTTTAAGTCACTGGTGCTGATAAGATGAAGACAATCTATATAAGTAACTCACTACTTATAAGGTTAATGAGAACACTTCGACAGTCCACGGCCGGTTTCGCCCTTCTTGGGGCTCATCAGGAAGGCGAAGTCCCCGAGTTTCCGTCAACCTTATGTTGTACTTGAAATCAAATTGAACAAAATTTGCAAGCAAATTTGGTTTAGAACATCCAGTTGCCTGGAAAAATCACAAACGGGAGATTCAGCTGGGTTCCAGGTGAGTCTCGAAAGAAACAAATTAGTTTGCAAATGAGTGAAATTTGGCTTCAAGTAGAACATAAGGTTGACGGAAAAGTGGGAACTGCGCCTACCTGATGAGCCCAAAGTAGAAGGGCGAAACCGGTCGTGTACTGTCGACGGATATAACGAATATCATAGGGACCAAAATATGAGGCGGCCTGGTGCAGCACATTCAGTTGCCTAGAAAAATCACAAACGGGAGGTTCAGCTGGGTTCCAGGTGAGTCTCTCGAAAAACCAAATTAGTTTGCAAATGATTGTACATTCGCTAAAGCAAAACATAGTCATTAGGTAGCAAACCTCCTTTGGAATCGAATGATTAATCAACCATAACTCTTTCATCTCCAACTAGGCTCGCGTGGAACTCATGTTAATCTTCGTCAAGATCGGTCAAGTGGACACGGTCAACGAACGCTATCAGGCCGATATATTCCTACAAGCTCGGTGGAGGGAACCTTTGCTGGACGCCACGTGGAACACAAGTCGTCCACGGAACAACTTTCGGACTTTCAATATGGTCGAAAATCCCGTGATGGAACTGGCCCCGAAACGTCATCTTCACACCGTAAGTTATGTTCTACCCCAGTTCCGCTGATGTGTACAGATGTGTCTTAGTCCGTTGAGAGTAGTTCCTGCGTTAGAACGGTCAACGAGTATTTATAGTATAGACTGTTCGATTTCACCTGGTACCTATCGATGGGTGGAACCAGAAGAACGTATGTTCCCTAGTTTTGTAGACATTCATTCTTTCATTTTCGCTGACTGATCATCGCAAACTAGCATGTTGGCAATGGCAGTTTTTCGGTCTGTTTGAAGACAACAGCTGTTCTTGCAAGTAACCTGATTGTTCTAGCGGTACGAAGCAACAAGTTGTGTTTCTGACAGATCGATCGAATTTTCAAATCAAGTGGAAAAGAAAAATCGAATATCCATCATCGGCAGAAAAATTGACCCCTGCGCTTTGAACGTTCCACAACAAACATGATTCAATACGGATACTTTCATAAAGGAAACTACTCACAAAGTTGATGAAAACTCTTTGACAGCCCACGACCGGTTTTGCCCTTCCGCTTTGGGCTCATCAGCTAGGCGCAGTCCCCGAGTTTCCGTCAACCTTATGATCTACTTGAACCCGAATTGGACTGTTTTCAAGTAATTCACTCATTTGCAAATCAATTTGGTTTTCACGAGACACTCAACTGAAACTCTCGTTCATGGTATTCTACAACTGAATGTGCTGCACACAGGCTGTCTCATGTTTCATTTGGCGCGATATTTCGAGATATGCGTATATTTACAAGTGAGTGTATTTTTCGAATTCAATACAGATGTTTGCTTAGGAAGCTCCGCCCATGAGCGCCATAAGATAACTCACAATCCACCGTTAACATTCAACAATTACAATAGGATCAACCGCGTATTTCGAGTCACCACTCATTTGCTTTTCGTATTTCTCTTGACGATGGGGCGTGACAAACCATACTGACCGAGTATTACAGCTTGAACTAATAGGCTATTAAATAATCACATACATTTTGAATGAATTCTGGATGGTTTCCTGTTTAAGGCATGAAATTACTGGCGGAGAAATGAGTAGTTCGAACCAAACCTCAGCACCTCGGGCGGTCCTATTTATGGTTAGGCAATCTGGGATCATCTTGCGCTCCCCCTCCTGCCCTCCTGCTTCCATAAATACGGGCATGCTGGTCGCCTGGAGGAAACACCTTACTGCCTTCACACTCCTGTTGCAGAGGACAGTACGACTTTACCCCCAGACCGCCTCGTAGCACGATTACTCGTAGTACGGGGTCTCGCTGCTCTTGGTCTGGCTGCTCCCCTTTGGCCTTCCTGGCATGGTTGCACTTTGTGGAACGAAGTTCCAGCCAATATAGCCCGCGGGATCATTGCAGCACTCAAGCCCGACCACCGCGTCAAAGTGGCAGCCTTAGGTCGGGGATGATGATCGTGCTTCTTTTGGGTGATAATGCAGCCAGGCCCTCGAAAAAGTGGTTACAGCTGAAGAACCCTTGTATTCCATTATTCTATGCCTTGGTTTTGTCTTCATCTAAGGCTACGACGTCTCTGAGAGTCCCAACAACAAGCTGCTCTATAGCGACCACACCTCGATTGTGCCAGCTTCCGATCAATATGTCGAATTGCTGGTCAAAGTAGCTGCGTCTCCAAGTGACATTGTTCCCCGTTTCCCCTCTGGGACCAAATTTAAACCTACGAAAACGTACCCAGTAACATTACCCTTTGAAAGGTCTACTTCATCAAAAGGACTGTCTTCTAATGTCGGCTCCTGAAGAAGTCAGCACTGTCAATAAACATATTTCGACGGAACATCTTTTCACAGATGAGTTTGTACGCAAAGTCCAAGATACCCACACATACAAAGCTCGTATTCAACAGCTAGTTCTTTGGGAAGCGAGTAATCTTCAACCAGAAAACCGTCAGGGAATTCTATCGACTCTTGCTTAGCAAGCATCTTGACAGTGCTCGAAGGTAACACAACGAAGCAAAACAATATTAGGCTAGCCTTTTAAATGCAGTCACCGAAATCCAGTGAACCGTTGTAAGGCTGTAATGCAATTAACGTGCTTCAACTAGCCAGCCACCTGTTCGCCCAATCACGTAGTTCCTTTCCTGCAGTAGAATTCATCATCTGTGTTGTAATCTCCACCTGTGCAGGGGAAACACCATGCACGCTCACCTATTTGGCCATGTTCAATCCACCATCGCCCCGGTGCCACAGTGAGTTGTCATTGTATGAACTCAGTGAGCAGTCTCTTCGGCAGCTTTTGATGATTATGATGTTGAAAAAAGCCATTCAAACGGATCCGGGAGAACCGGTCGACGGCAAAGCTGCACTATGCAAGCGACTTTGTTTGGTCATCAACGTAGAATCTGACTTCCAAGAAGAACATACTGTTGAAGGAAGCTTTGAAACTGCGACTACCTTACGAGCCCCATGAAGACGGAAACCGGAATGCAGCAGTCTTCTAGGTGACGTATTGTTCTGTCAGGAGCCTCATCTGTGTGAGGTGAAACAAAACTTGTTTGTCCCGGAACACGAAACGAAAACGAGGTCATGCCCACACGAAACCAACCAAGTTCAATCCCTTTACACCAATGAATCTCCCATACACATGTCCGCACCGATCCTGGTGTGAGTGTGTGTGACTTGTCCCAAGCAAAAGTACTTTCTTTGTCTACCTGATTATCAGGTGTGAAAAGATGTTCAAGGACGAACTTACACAGATACCCAAAATCGGTAGGATGCTTCTGCTACGTGGCTGTTGAATGTGGTCCATTCAACGCCTTGTCTTGAGGCAAAATATACAAAGCAAATGCTTCTGGCTTGCTCGGAATTCCGCCTCGATAACGTCCACGTGTCAACTACTATTGTTCTCCGTTCAAACATGATTGCAACTGATCGTTTACCGTCCTCTAGCTGGTACAGGAAATCAATTTGCCTGAGTGAATTAGAACGTATCGATTCAGGTGAGAATACTTAGTTCCTTCTGTGATACACTACTCATAAGGTTGCTGAAAATTCGTCGACAGCCCACGACCGGTTTTGCCCTACTTGGGTCTCATCAGGTTGGGTTGAGTTTCCCTCAACCTTATGTTCTACTTGAAACCAAATTACATGAAATTAGCGAATATACACTCATCTGCAAACTAATTTGGTTCTTTCGAGTGACTCACCTGGAACCCAGCTGAATCTCTTCCCGTTTGTGATGTTCTCAGGCAACTGAATGTGCTGCACCAGGCCGCCTCATGTTCCAGTCGCTACGATATTTGAGATATCGAGATACATGTATATATCTGTGAAGCACTACTCATAAGGTTGCTGAAAATCCGTCGAGAGCCCACGACCTGGAAACATCACAAACGAGGGTTTCGGTTGGGTTCCAGGTGAATCTCTCGAAAAACCAAATTAGTTTGCAAATGAGGGTATATTCGCTAATTTCGTGGAAATTAGTTCCTTTTTGTTTTATTCGCCATTTCTCATTGATCGAAACAACATAACATGTGAAACTGTGTTTGGTCTTGAACGCACTCTTCCACCTGTGTGTCCTTCAACCGAAAGTTGCACTTCCCATTCCCAGAAAGCTTATTACGAAAGGTTCCTTACTGACAAGGAGAGGAAAAACTGGAGGTGTTTCTTGTACCATATTCAAAGCGTCACGACTCAGCCCATTCTGACCACCAAGGACGAGACGCAATGGATTCTGAACTCTTAAAGTTCACCCCTAAGCGATTTCATGCTTTACGGTCGGACACCCGAAGAACATATCCAAAGCTCTTAGGAGAATAAACACCCACTTGTTTAGCACTCCCATTGGTCAAGTAGATTCGAAAAGTAAACCCTCTGGCGCACCGTGGCCACTGAGATTGTTTGGCGCCAACTAAACTCTTGTTGAATAACGCTTCTGAACTGCCATTGTTCTCTTGAATTACCAGCTGTGGCTTTTGTTTTCAAATGCAGTCAGCCATCTGTTATGTCTGACCCGATTTTTCCATAAATAGAACAAACAAACAAGCAGATAACCCAAAATCGATTGCTGGCGAGTAAATCTTATTTTTTTCTGAGGCATACATTTCCCCATGTAGCGTCTGTTCTGTCACCGAGTGATTTTTAAGATCAATTATTTATGGTAATCCACCTGAATGCCAAAACTCCCCTCGTTTGTTTGATCCTGGTGAAAATCGGTTCGTTTGGAAAATCTGTCCAGGACAGAAGAGCGATGATATCAACCGTACTTGGCTTGCAGTACACAGAAAGACCAGCATCTTTGATTTGTTTCTGCCGTTTTAATTGGGCGAACTGTATGAATCTGTATTGGCCAAACATTGTATCAGCAATGTTGTGAAATGTAGGTACGACGAAACCGGTCGTGGGCTGTCGAAGAGTTTTCAGCAACCTTGTGAGTAGTTTCCTTCAAGAAAACGTCGACTGTACTTTACTGGTCTGGAGATAACGTTGCCGTTACCGAGGGCTTCCATCGCCTAGTACCAGGGTTCAAATGGATTCATTTCAGACTGCGAAATTCCAAACCAGAAAAAAAACAAGACTGGTGAAGTATTTTCACTGATTTTTAAGGACATCGTCATGATTGTTCTACAGACTGATTGGTTGGCAAAACCCCCGATCCATCGCCACGCTCCCTAACAACGTACTGATGATGTGAACACCTGTAGTCTAACTGCCCAGTTCAGCGAACACACCAAAGACAATCTACGCTGTCTGGGCTACCTGCATTGATCCAGTTGATTCAAATCAAGACAGGCGCTACTGGCATCGGATGGACTGACAGTGTTGCTATTCAGACCTTGCCGCTGTGGTTTGCCGAAAGTAGATGGGTGACTAAACACACCTGAAATGAGATACTTATTTCCCCAAAGGTAAAGCGGCATTCAGTCTAACAGCCAGAAGGCGTTCTCCATGAAGGGTTGTACTCCAGGTGAGGATGACATCTTCGTAAAAACATTCTAATGGGTGAAGGTCGTCCTAAGCGGGTAGTCACCAAAACTTCTGGTGGTTAAGGTAACGACTGA